ATGAGGCGGCTCTTGGAGTGTTTGAGAGAAAGATTTTGCGGAAGATTTACGGGCCTTTACGCGTTGCCGACGACGAGTACCGCAGACGATGGAACGATGAGCTGTATGAGCTTTACAACGATATGGACATAGTGCAGCGAATTAAAATACAGCGGCTCCGCTGGCTTGGTCATGTCGTTCGAATGGCCACCGACGCTCCAGCTCTGAAAGTATTCAACTCGGAACCCGCTGGTGGTAGCAGAGGAAGAGGGAGGCCCCCACTGCGTTGGAAAGATCAGGTGGAGAAGGACTTGGCTTCACTTGGCGTTTCCAATTGGCGTCAATTGGCACAGAGGAGAAACGACTGGCGTGCTTTGCTGAACTCGGCCGGTTACAGCGCCAAAAAAGAAGAAGAGTGCTTTTTGCGTTCCCGTGCACTTCTGTATCTTTTCTCCTTTTACTCCCACTTGAGAGAGTAAAATTGTAGTTTGACAGTTCCACAGGTTTTAGTCCGAAATTCAAAGGAACAGACTAAATTAGTCTGTTCCAATAGCAGCCCGGTTTACAGGATTTAGGATCCTGTAACTTCTGACTAAGAACAGTTGCTCAGTTACTTTCTCAAAAGTGTTCGCACTTACAGGTTTTATGTCAATAGGAACGACTTCCTGTAAGTTCTGACTAAATGCTGTAAACCGGACTGCTGTTGGAACAGACTAATTTAGTCCGGAGTTTTTTTCCTGTAAGTTCTTGAAAAGTGTTAAACGATCAGCTGATTTGCATGTGCAAACAAAAACAGAAAGCAGTGTAAGCAACGAAACTTATATTTGTAAAAATATGGAAGTAAATAACGAAATGTTTGAATATGTTTTTTAATAATTAGTTAGTGATATTTCAGCCAAATAAGTGTTGTACAAATGACATGTAAACATACAGAATGACGTTTTTACAGGAAATAGTGCTTTTTGCGTTCCCGTGCACTTCTGCATCTGTTCTCCTTTTACTCTCACTGGAGAGAGTAAAATTGTAGTTTGACATTTCCACAGGTTTTAGTCCGAAGTTCAAAGGAACAGACTAAATGGAAGTAAAAATTACATAAACGGATGATCAAACGTGACATTATTTAATAAAAATGTAATTTTTCCAAAATATCGTAAAGAAAAATCTATACATTTTCACACTCGTTTTGCAATATCGTGAAACTAAGTTAAGACTACTTAGTAGAAGTCTGAAATGCAACTATGAATAGAAGTGAATTTTAAGTTGGTACTTAAATTTAAGTTGCAACTTTATTAGTTTCGACTTAGTGGCTGGACTATGAATACGCGCCATCGTTTTTAATGCAATTATTGATATGAAATATTAATTTATCTGTCGTTAGTATGTTAATTTAGAGGCCGTTCCTAGGAGCAAGCATACTTTTAACGTGCGTTATGTCAAAGCAACGCCAACGCCAGAGCCAACGCGAAAGTTCTATGTGGACCGGCCTTAAGTGCGGTGGTCTCTGCAAAAGGTCTTCTGCCCCTCTTCTCCGGCAACACAGAAAGAGAATTCTATTTTGTGAGGGTTATAAGTGCGGACAAAGGCCGCCTACGCAGAAAGGAGTTATGTACAAAAATACTGTGAATGGCGTTAGGTCCCTTTTCTTGCGCAACACAGAAAGGAGAATTCTACTTAGTAAGGGTTATACTGTGGATAATTGCTCGTTGGGTTAACCACCCGCCTTTTCTTCATTCGGTCTTTTGACAGTTCAAGGTAAATAACTATTAGCTGCAAATTTGTATCGGTTTGTGATTTTGTTACATATTGTTGAAATATTGTTTTTATTATCGCTTATTTAACTTTAATAACTAAATTATCAATTTTAGTACCAAGTTATTCCTGCGTTTAGATACAAGTCAGTGCTACAATTTGCTTAAAACAAGCGAAAACGCAAGTGAAAATTGTGATTTTTGGTAATTTTTCTAATGGCTCTCTAGGGACCTACAGGGGGTCTAGGAAATTCGGGGTCGCATTTTTGTCAATGGCGGTTCATGCTCTCTCCAAAAAGGGGGTGGGAGGTTCCACGCCCCATCCACTTCCGCCCACCGCCCCCTTAACCAACGGCCATATTGAAAAGTTTCCCCTCGGAAACATCACACCAAAATCTTTTGGTATTGCCCTTCACGTTCACACAGAGCAATTCTTTTGTACACAATTATTGTTGTCAGCTGTAAACGGCCAACTTATAGGTGCAATCCCGTATTCCTCGGACTAGTAAAACTGTCAAAAAATAAAAATTCGCTCAGAGCGAGAGAGTAACATTGAAAACTACGGGCTCGCTTTCTAGTAAAAAATGGTAACTTCTGTCAACTTCAACATAACCTCCAAATTTTAGTTGTAAATTTTTGCTTATTTTGTATGTAAGCACACTCAGCTCACACATGTAAATAACCAAAAATACTTTCAAACTCATTAGAATCCACTTAAACAAGTAATTAAATAGTTGTTTGCTGGGTTATGGAGCTACTTCGGCCGATGAAAAAGAGAAAGGAAAGGAAATTTTCTTCTACGCGTTTCGACAATGCGCGCTAATACAACGGCTAATAGACACAACTGAAAGAAAAATTCGCAGTCCAAATAATAATACCAAACGGCCAGCTGATAACACGAACAAAAAATATATTGGACTTACTTATATCCCGGGGCTAACAAATAATCAAGTACTTAGACGAATAATGAAAAATGAAAATATAATATATGCGCACAAGCAAAATATTTACAAGGACGAAAGATAAAATAGAAAAGGAGCAACAAAGTAATGTTGTCTATGAAATAAAATGTAAAGGCAAATATAATGACCACTGTAATAAGTGTTACATAGGCTCAACAAAACGCGCATTGGGTATAAGGATCGGCGAACACAAGGCAGATGAACGGAACAAGAGAATGACAACAGCCCTGGCTCAACATCTGACTGCAAACGAACACACAGCTGACTTCGCCAACACAAGAATATTGGACGTAGGAAGAGGAGAAAGAAGGAGAATTACATTGGAAAGCCTTCGTATACAACAAAGCTTAGACAGCGCGATGAATTTTAAACACGATGTGGACAAAGCAAACAACGAATACACAGCTGTGATAAAACGAAAATATTCAAATTATGTTAGAAAAGATAGGTAACATAATTAAGTACATAGCTATAGAATTATGTGTTGTGCTAATTACTGTTGAGTTTTTAATTTAAATGTAAGTTAAAAAATTGTGTATAAGCCTTTTTGCTATACATATGTTTGTTAATATTGTGATTGTAATTCATGTTTATTGTTTTTATTTATTGTTTAATAAAAAAGACTCCCTGAGGAAGACGCAAAGCGTCGAAACGCGTAGGAGGGAAGGAAGAGAATTTACTTTCGTTTCTCTTTTTCATCGGCCGAAGTAGCTCCATAACCCAGCAAACAATTAAATAAGGAATTTGGCCCAAAATTATAACTAAAAGTAATTAAATACTTTTCAACTTGAATTAGCTGAGTGCACTTTTGTTTTGTTTACAATTTGGCTGCCAAACACACTACAGCTGATCGTTTGACACATTTAGCAGAATTTACCAGCAAACAATTCTCGGACTAAAGCTGGTAAGTTCTGACAGAGAGAGAACCGTATTTACTGTCTTTTCTGTCCTCTCAAAAGTCATAGAACCGAGTACGGGATCGATTTCCAGTAAAATCTGACTGATTCTGACTATTACTTACTAGTCCGGACTCGTACGGGACCGCTACTTATAATTACGCAGATGAACGAGAGCACAAAGCGTGTTGCTCGAGCATGGGCAACTCGGTGCCCATCCCCCTTCCTCGTCACTCCCTCTCCTACAACTAACGAGTTGCCGCGACAAATTTTTCTTTGTCTGAACCTAGACTTAAGATATGATTCAATAATACAAGGTTAGATAATGGCTGCGTTTCTTTATACATTCCGGATAATCCCATTTCACAGCCGGAATAAACAGAATACGTTTGAAATATACGTTAACATATCATCAGGAACGTTCTAAAGAATAAGTAAACAAAAAAGTTTATTCCAAACGTTCAGAATGAATAAAGAAATTCAGCCAATTATTGACAGCCGCGGTTTGACACTCCCTTACAAAAGGTTGCATTTACGAAGGACGGAGAAAAGGGGAAGAATACAATCCCTTGTTGCGAAAATGGTAGTAGAAAAGCACGCAAAGTAGGCAATTAGTAGTGAAATTCCTTTTGTAAATGCTGATGTATTTGCAGGAAATCTGGAATTTTAAACGATATATTGCACGAAATATTAATATATCTACGTGAATTACGTAATTTATGAGCTATTTAGCTATATAAAAACTGAAAAAGGATTCAAAATTAAAGGAAGACTAATATGAAATTTATGTAAACATCCAATTTAAAATCAATTCATGTTTTCATCAGTTAAATGTGCTTCATATGCATATGCAAATAAACATATTGCACAAAGGCTTATACTTCTATTTCACACCAAAGCTACACTGTTTCCATGTAAATTTGCAAAGAAGCAACACGCCGCCACAGCAGAGGTAGCGGTGCGAGAGGGACAACTGTCAGTTTATCGAACCTTGTGTTATTGAAACATGGACTTAAGAAACGCTTTCCAGAAGAAATTAGTAGGGGTCTTCATCTAAAGTGATAAAGGGATAAATTGCTTAAATTTATCAGTTTATCCGCATTCTTTCATGTACGCATGAATTTCGCTGAAATTTATACATATATCCACCAAAGTCGTTTGATAAAGAGATACACTTCGGTTAAATATATTTCCATACAAAGTTTGACAGTTCATTTATCAAAATTATTCATTTATCAAATTTAGCACTTTATCAAGTTTTTCAATAGTTTTTCACTTTTGATGAAAATCCCTTCTGATAATTTGAGATAAACTGTTAAGAAACAAAGCTCTAATAAGAACACCCATTTTTGCACGTTTTCCTTTTGTTTATATCAGTCTATTATGGAATTTTGTTTTTATTTGCAGTTTCTAAATAAACACCCGGCTTTTGACAATCAAACAGCTGTTTGTTAACGTCATATTAAAAATTCTGCAGTTGATAATTGTTGGCATTTTTTCACAAAATTGGTATCAGTAGTGCAATTTGGAGATGTAACCTCACGTAAAATTACATAAAAATGCACTAAAAATTATTTTAACAGTTAAAGTAGTTAAAAAGGTTGTGAAGAGACGAACTATTCTAAAAATACCAGTGTACTCCTGCAAGCACAGCTAGCCAAGATGTTTCGCATCGAGTCGTACGTTACGCCGGTCATTATGGAGTACGTGGCAAAGTATGTGAAGAACATACGATCAGAGGATATGCAGCTCTCCCTTTGGGAAGGTGAAGTCACGCTGCAAAACCTTGATCTGCGACTGGACGTACTCGAAGAGGAATTGCAGTTGCCTTGTGAATTTTTATCAGGCCATGTGCATGAATTGACTATACGTGTACCGTGGACTAAGATCACTTCAGAACCAATACGCATTATAATTAATACAATTGAATTTGTGCTTAAGCTCAGACGTTACAAGCCAGATGATGTTTCGTCAGCAAGTTCATCACCACAACACAAAGTTGGCGAAATGGCTAAAAAGCGCAAGCGCGCAAATGATGATCAAAATGCTGTACAACAAACAGCAGGATCTGGTATTGTAAACAAAATAATTAACAACATTAACTTGGAGTGCCACAATATAATACTTAAGTATGTGGAAGACGATATTGTCGTGTCAATGAACGTGCAACTTATGCAGTTCGGCGCAGCAGATGAGCGTTGGAAAATGGCCATGACAGATGTTCATCCTGTAAAAGTGATGATGCGTAAATTAGTCAAAGTATCGGACCTTACCATATGTATGGATAAACGTAATTCAGCTGGACACATTGAAGTGTGCCAGGAGCCAATATTATATAGGTATCATATCAAATTCTATTTATGTTTGCAATTGTATCTTTATGTATGTATTTTTTTTTTGCAGATGTTCGTTTGAACTGCGCATACTGCGGAAATATAACACCAACACGATGGCAAGTACAAGTGTAATTCGGGTAGGAATATTTACAAAATCGATGGACATCAATATTACATCTATGCAATTTCCAATGATTATGCGCTTGGTAGACATAATGACTGAGTTTGGCCGGCCAAATGGAAAAGGCTTACTAATAGAACAAGACGAAATCTTCGAAGACCAAGAGAATGTTGAAGCTAATAGCACTTCACTCTTACTTTGGGCCTGGAATAAACTGCCATCATTATCATTTGAACCTGGGGAATTCGATGAGCCTGCTGACGAAGAGGTTACTGGTCATTTAAGAGATATTGGTGTATATTTGGAAGAGTTAAACATTAATCTAAAAAACTCTGAGTTGATTGTGGATACATTTGTTAGTAATACTAAACGCATTAAGTATACACCCATTGTACGTTTAACCCTCGGCGGCTTATACTTTGAAAAAGTCTCATGCGAAGAGCAGAATTGGCGTAGTACAAAATCAGGCATCTCATATTTAATAGTCGATCCTTTGGGTTGCTACAGAGTCGATGATATTTCCGAGTCGGCATTGGTTTCGAGCGCTTCTGTAAAATCCCTATTATTTCCAAATCATTTTCGTATAGTAATTTCTACTTTATATATTAATTTTCAGTTGGAAAAAGACACAGGCTTTTTGGATAGTAGCCTCTTCGATGAAAAGGCCGCGGCGTTTAATCTCAGCACATTCTTTAACTACGATGCGTACATGTTACAATATACTGACGAGTACTTGCTGAAGCGCACACCCATTATTGCTTTTGATTCCGTCGAATACAAAACCCCAAAGCTTCGTGATAACCAGCAGCAAGAACTCGACTTGTCAACAGCAGCTGTAAGGGACACACATCTCGCGTATCGTGTACTTTCATCTGGTCTCACGTTCCGATGGAATCAGTCTTTTCGACAGGTTAAACAAACAATACAAGATTTAATTGATTCTTACGACTACTCAGGCTATCATGTAGACCAGTTAGATATGGCTGCGCCGAGCAGCTCAAGCACATCCAAACTGCCACCACCACTAATGGAGGACTACGATGAGCTAATGACATTCATACCGCTTCGCATCTATAAATTTGATTTGAAAAATATAAACTTTGAAATTTATATTAGCACGGAACCAGCAACAGCCACACAAAAGGGCCAACATCGACTGCCGAGTGCATTAAGGCAAGCTATGCCCTACTTCTTGGCACATATTGAAAACGTAGATGGAACTTTGTGTACACCTCTGAATCCCGATAAGCTAGTGCACACTACCTGCCAACTGCCGGAAAAGCCACACGTTCTAATCGATGCTTGCTACAACAACTACGCTATCCATATAAAACAGTTCACCTTATCAATGGAGAACAGGATGCGGAAGACTACTGCCAGATTAATGCATATACCACATATAGAATTTGTGTATTCAGACCTTTTGCAAAAAAAACATTGGAGGGAAGACATACTTATACCGACAAGAAAAGCCGATTTCAATTGCGAACTCATCATTATTGACTTTAATAAGCGTGATTTAATAATTGCTGAGCGTCTTTTAAATTGTGTGCTTAGCTATAGGCCGTACTTATTGTGGAAAATAGCAAATCAATCGATGCAGTTGATGAAAAACGAGTTACATCCAACTTTGCATACCGAGCTCAAAGGCATTCACGCCGATATCCAATGCTTCCAGAGCTATACCTCTGCATATGCTGAAGTCTATGCATTGCTTTCATATGTGGTAACTTATTCAAACTCCTGTATATCAAAACATCTCTTGCTGGACTCCGAAAAAGGGAATAAACCGAAGAAATGGCTGATGGTGAGCCTGCAATTAAATCCGGAGGGTATCCACTTGACGCCAAATAAAAATGAAGAGCTTATCGCGCTTGCCATATGGGTGGAACCTAGCTCAATATTTGTAGATGTTGCACTGATCGAGTTTTTAAAATATCAAGAAGATTACGATCACACTGTTGAAAAAGGTAAGCAAAAGTATAATGTATAAAATTTTTGAATGATTTTAACTAAACAAATGTTATTTTAAGAACCATCGAGCGAGGTAGAATTGCACACTCAGCAGCTTCACTCACATGCTCCATCACAAACACATGCCAGCTCTAGCCAACCCCCCCGAGTGCACACAAATATAACTGCAGCAAGTGGTACAGGTGCAGGTCCACCTCTTATAAGACGCTCTTCACGTAATTCTCTGCCCTCCCGCAAAATTTCACATCCTGAAGAGACTATACACTTTAGCTCCGAACGCGATGACAAAGTTGATATGGATGCATCGGTCAGCATATTAGCACCGACGTCCACTGAGCCAACGCCCAGCCCACTTTGGCAGCAAATCAAATCTTTAGTTGTCAGCATAGATCTCGGCCACATAAGGCTGCATATAGCAGAAAAAATTAAGTGGTATAGTAATCAAGAGGATATAATAAGTGAATATACCCAAATTCAATTACCGAAAATAGCGATGCGATCCACCAACGCCGAAAATTTATCACGCACCAATCTCCAGAAGAAATTCACAATACATACAACTCCGAAGGACACGATAAATTGGGTGATTGCCTTGTATGGGCTAAGTATTAAAAGGTGCAATTGTCCCGATCTGGGTTCTGTATTGCCAGATGTGTATACCACAATTACTATTGTCGTTACACACAAGACGCTGTTGAAGTCGGATTTAACTTCAACCACGTCAACACTAGCTAGTTCTGTAAAAGAAAAATCCAGTGAACACATTAATGAAGATATGAGAATGTCCGCACATGTACAAGGGGAATCATCTTCGGCGCCACTAACCGATACCACAAAATTAGAATTTACTTCACTCTCAACGCAGCCACCAACCAATTCATTGGAAGTTGATGCCATAACAATCCATGTAGATACGACGCCTATACATTTTCATGTATCGGAAACGAAGGTTTGTCGACCCCTGCCGTTTTATAATTTAATTTAATTATTATTTTCGAAACGGTTGAATTAGTAAACATTTTATATTTGTAGTGCAAGGCATTACATTTACATATGGAGATTCTGAGTAAGGTGGTCACACTAATGGGACCGATGGCACAATTAACCGCAAGCACACAAACCCATACATTTCCACCGCCTATGCAAGTTGTAACTGCATCCGAGGAAAGTGCTGCAATAAAACAGTTTTTGGAGCTAGAAACTAGTTCGTCAGTATCCTCGGTGTTCTTAGAAAAAAGTAAGCAAATGAAATTTTTAACGAAATGAAAATCTAAAATCTTAATGTGGAGCATTGATCGTTTTTTTCTTTCTCAGAAATTCCAACAACCTATACTACTTCTCTATTTTGCCAATGGTCCATTGCGAAGATAATTTTTGAAGTTGCTGCACAAGAGCGCAAGAGTAAGATTGTTTTTGAATTTGAAGACTTACTTTCAACAGTTGACCAGCGTCAAGATTTTACTAAGTTCACCGGCAAGGTTGGGCAATGCAGCCTAACCTATTACATACCCGATATCAATGAGCCTGGCACATGGGTGATCAACAGTGGTTTGTGTTTGAAAATGCTCGGTGAGGTGGCAAATATGCCATTCTTCAATATTGTATACACTTCTGTGGGGCTTAAGAGCTTTTACACGCGCATCGGCGTCAAACCGAAATATGACGCTAATCGCTCAATAGCTGAAGTTATAGTTACAATCCAAGCAATGGAAATAATAATGGATTTGGAATGTTTAAGGGAATTTGTTGGTTCTTTGGGTGTTCTTTTCGTGGCCAGCGGCTGCAAAGCGTGTCCTAGTGCAGAGGTGCATAAGCTGGTGCACGCAAATCCGCCGACTGCTTCCGACCTTCCGCTGATTCATTTGGATAGCAAGGGATTTACTATATACACGCCTTTAGCAACAGAGCGCGAGTGTTGTACAGCGGTTATTTGGAAAGTAAACAATATCAAATGCTACTTTATAATACACATTATAACTATTATATTTACTTAGATTGAATCCATTAAAATTACACCCAATTTGGAGAATCCACTCCAGCGCAATCCCTTACGCGCCGATGTGTACAGCAAAGCGGCGCAATTAGGATTTCTAAATACACCCGGTTCGCTGGTTGAAGATCGTCAATATGAGTTGGTTTTACAAAATCTTTCGGTGTCTACTGGTGACTGGATGGAGATTTTGGGTCATATGGCACAGCAAGCAAAAACATTTCAGCATTCAAACCCAGCGGTGGAATGGAATTCCCAAAATCGAGATTCGTCGCCATATATTGCAGATATTTTCACGCATTTCACTTTTATTGGTATCTTCGCGCCTTGTATCGCTTACAACAACGTATTGATTTGCGGTCAGGCGGTGGAATTCAATTGCGCCTCAGATGTTATCGCCACACTCAATACAGATCAGCTCTATGCGTTTGGCTGTTTTATATGTCTAATAAATAAACTGTTTGCGTGAGTTTGTGTGCGTATTATGTACAACATATTCATTACATAACTTTCTATCTCTCCAAATGTAGTGTTGCCAAAAAAAGTAATAAATCAAGAACTTTTGTTCCTGCGTTGAGAATGCTAAAAGCGCAGCCATGTCAGAGCGAATCTGGCAGTATTTCAAAGACTTCTAGTAGTTCTATACAATGCGCTGAACTACTTATTCTTCCGTTGAATAAAAATACCCGCAACTCTGCATCAGCGTTTGAACCAATAGATGAATATACCGAGCACAATCTGAAAACCGACTCCGGTATTCACTCGCAACAATCACGGCTAGAGCACCTGCCTCAACTCACATCGGTCACCGATTCTGTTGTTCGCAAATTCCCTCAAACTGTTTCATTCATAGCCGGCACTTTCACCATAAAGTTATATGAGGTTGTTGGTAAAATGGCAGACACTTCCGAGTCAAAAGGAAAATGCTCTGAAAAAGTAGCTAGGTTGCAATTGGCCCCGTTGCTCTCCTTCTCGGTGTCTCAGCCGAGCTTTATGTTTACGCAAAATATCTACGACAGTATTACGCAGATATCGGTTTTCAATTTAAATATCCAATCAGTACCCGCCATGGGATCACATACTGATGATGCCAACCCGTTTTCGGTAGAGTTTTTGGACACAAGGCCTGGCGAGTTGAGTACCACCGGCATACCGCCTCCACTAGTCACCTTACGTAAACATATAACTAAGCAACGGCTCGTCGAGACCGACGTTGAAGTAGCAAGGCCCATAATCATTACACTTCTGGAAAGTCAAACGATAGTTCTATTGCACAATAATTTAATCTTGTACCAAACCGTTTTGCAAAGTGGCTGTCTCGACCCACGGACAACAAGAGTTGTACAAAAAGCGTCTAAAATTATGCTCATGCGTAATCAGTTCTACGACTCTGACCGACTGCATGCAAAGCTTGATAAAGTGGTGCTGCTGATGAAGAATGAAGGTGATTACGAATGTAAATTAGTGTGCGCTGATACGCACTTCAATGCCACCTTCTTACAGCGCCCAGAAAAATCTATTCTTAAAGCCTCTTTTGGTGCAGTACATGTGCAAGTGGGCGAAAGAATATTTATTCATCCAATTTCTCTGCGTACAACATTTACTTTTGTCAGCGAACCGTGGTACTATTTACCGTTGGTGAGCGGCGCAGTCAAATTGGATGTGGTGCATTTGGATGTAGATATGAGTGGAATAAAAGAGCTGCAGCGCACCCAACGAGGACTGGATAGAATGGCCGCTGATGTCAATGAGCAATGGTTGAGCTTTTTGAGCAACCGCCCTCCAATGGGAAAACCGGCAGAAGTGTCTGCTGAAAAGTTGGTTCCTATGAAAATCTCTATTAAAAATTTGCCTGAACTTAAAAATGCAAATAAAAACAAGGAGAAATTGACACGGGAGGAATTTTATCAAGACGACCTGAGGTAACGCCGATACATGATGTTAGCGCATCTGTGCTATATCTAGATACATTACGTAGCTATCTTTCTATTTATAGGGCTGGTGCATTTCAGTTTGTCGATATGACTACAGACACTTTCCTGCCGCTACCTTATCAAATTCAAATAATCAAAAAGAATTATGGCATTATTTGTTGGCGTTACCCTCAACCAAGGAAAATGTGTAAAATTCATGTTTTTCCAGTGCCAATGGCGGTAAGTGGATTTCGTTTGGTTCCTTTCTTTATTTAATTAAACTTTTTTTTCCCCCAACAGGCCCAAAAGCCAATTAATATACGCTGCCAAATGGAATATTTTAGCGAGTCGCATGAATGTTTTCTGCATTTCAGTGAATTTTGGCTTTCCGAAACCGCATCCAAAGATATTGTATTGCCTGAGCGTGAGATCTGTGCCAACATTTGGCGTGTTGTCATAATGCAATCTTTAGTCGCCGTGAATGGGGAATGCTTTGAGCCCAGTGAAGAGGAGGAGGACAAGGTATATGCAATTCTTATAATGCTGCACTGAACTTTTACAATTGCTTCTTTGTATATTCCAACACAGATTCCAAGCTTAAAAATTGAGGAGCTCCTCAAAATCGAAAGCAACGACGACGAATTCATTTTACATCCAAAAGTGCTTGTAGGCTGCATGCGCATTGACACGGCTTTTCAATCGGAAAGTGTACCTAAACTGCAGGTGTTGCTCTCATGTGCGTCGCTTCAATTAAAATTGCTCAATCAATCCAATAATGAATACAATTTGCCACCCGCTTTGGCCGAATATACACTGGCTCCGTCCAAGCAAATAAGTCAAGCGTTCTTAGTCGTTTCAGTAGAAAATCTGAGCATACATGCGTCTTTCAACACCCCAAACATTTACAGCGTAAATAGCAGTTTGACCGTAAACGTGAAATGTCTAGATTACGGATTTTTGAATATGCTTTCTGTGCTAGAGGACGCAACTTTGCAGAGCTACGTTAGCGTAAACCAACTAAAACGCACCTTGAACATCAACGCAGTCTTTGAAAAGTTCCGTATCAATATTGGCCCATCAATACTTCACACTTTACTCTCATCGCAGGTGCATTGGCAAGAGCTACTCCAAGCGTCTGAACCTCAGGAATGTCATGTACTTTTGCCGAAATGTATTATTGTGAATCGTATGCATGCGGTGGTATCCTTTGGGCAAACAGGCACCACAGAACGCATACAACTGCAACCGTTGGAGTGCAGTTTATACAGTTTTAGCAGTAATGGCAGCAACCAAGAGCTTTCCTTTTTCATTGCTGACAATGAGATGCGCATTACTGATGCGTCGCAGTCGGTTGCCATTCCCTTCAAGTTCGATGGTGAGCGCATGCTGCAAACTATTCGTATCGGCGATAAATGTCTCATCATAGAGTCGCAAAAACTGTCATCCACTCAGGTGGTAGTGCTGCTGAAAGGGCAGATTGAGCTTATTTCCATGGTACCTCAAGAGTTGCATGTAGAATTTCGATTTGACGAAAACCAATGCGACGCAGAGAAGCGACCGCTTCAGTATTTAGTAAAAAAGGAAGGTTACGCATCATTTTACGCAGCGGTACAGCGTGTATCAAATGTATCAATGAGGTATGCGCTTCGGAGAAAAATCTTTAAACTACAATTATTTAAAATTAGTATTTTGTTCTTGAAATAGCGGTACATATACTTACATGGTTTTTATCGTTTCAGACTGAAGATGTTGACTCCAAAGGTGAAAGGGCGCACTGGTGATATACCCCTAAAGCCGAATAAAAAATTGCCATGGCTAGTGAAAGGTAGGTATTTCTGGTGGTAACTAATAGGTTTGTTCCACAAGCTACTTGTAGAAAAACTTGAGCAAAGTTCAAACTGTCAGCGTATATCAAACAAACTTTAAAACTTATTTGTGGAATGCGTATATGTAACCTAATATTGGAAAGGAATATGGCGCCTATTTTTTATTTTTTTTTGCAGTTCCCACATCAAATAACGAATTTGTTAGCTTCTGGGTTCGTGTTGTACGCGAAGATATAAATGAACTTTGTAACGAAGCGTTCGAGCCGCAGCGTATACTCGTCACAATCTGGCCCATATTTGAGGTGCAATCGCGACTACCATGCGCTCTGACAGCCCAAGAGCATTCATTAGGAAAACATTTTGAAATTGAACCATGCGGACGATACGTACTTGATGTACCTGCTACACACCTAACTGAGCATAAAGTGACATTCCAAACCAAGTAAAAATAAAAGTTAATGAAACAATTAAAAAAAACTTAATTACTTTCTCTCCCCTTAGATATCCTTTGAATTGCGAAAACAGCACAGAGCAAACACTTTCATTGAAATCGATGCAATGGAGCACTTTCTTTTGTTATGATGAGAAAAGCTGGGGTATAGACGACGCGGTCTATAAGCTCAAAACTGCACAAATATTAAGATCAAAATGGCTTCTCGATGATGAAGACGAGTTACGCGTGAAACGCACCTCCTATGGTACCGGTACTGCGGATCTATTGTATGTGATGAAACCGGTAGAAGAATTTTCATGTTCCACATGTCTGGAAGTAACATCCTGGGCGTTGTTCGTCAATTCCACTGGCATAGATGTTGGTATAAGCATAAGTCAATCGAAGAAGCGCACCCTCATCAAATCGAATTGTCTTGAAATGCTGGGAGAAATCACTGGTTCATTCACCGTAGATTTAAACATGGAAGATGCGGGCGTAAAATGGGTTAGCTCAATGCCAATTTACTGTAATGGTATCAGTCAGGGTGCGGCGCGTGGACATGTTTTGCCCGATAACGATAGTATAGATTTTACTATTGTGCATGATGAAAAAATTTATAAACTTGTGCTGGAGTATAGAATTAAAAATGAGCAGCGTGTATTTCGCCTCCGCCCAAAATATATAGTTGCCAACTTCGCGAAGTGCAAAATACAATTATTGGCCTTTGCAATGGATCACAAGGAGAGCGCACAACGACAAACTCTGGAAGAATTTAACGTCGGCGCTACGAAACTGGAATTAACAGAGATACAGTGGGCGGAAAACTGGTAAGTTTAAATATCGGGTTTCAAAAGAGTAAATAAATAATTGTTATTTTTTCACTGATATGCTTTCAGTTAAAAATAAAAGTTAAATTTTGACTTTTATACTTTCGGTCAAAAAGAAAAGTTAAAATTTCACTTTTTCATTTTTTCGGTCAAAAAGAAAAGCTAAAATTTGAACTTTTATTTTTTTATTTGTTTTTGTTATTTATGGCCTTATAACAATTATATTCAAAAATTTTATTGAGCTTGAAACTGTTTTTAATGAAAATTTTTGCGGGAAAAATATTGTTTTAGTCCATGGTGGAATAATAACAAGGTGTTTTCAGTAACTTAACCTCACTTTTTCGGCAGGTCTATTCCGGTCACGCATTTTAAAGTAGTAGAAAAATGTATAATTGCAGGCTTATAAGCCCGAATATATGTTTGTATCGCTTGGACATACAATATTGTAACTTTAAAAAAGTAAGAGCTGTAAAATAAGGCAATTTCCTATAAGACTGTAAATTATTTTTTAAATAGACTAAAACACATAAATATCGATAATATAAGCGAATTCCTAATTTAACCATGCAGCCACTCTATTCTGGTGTATCAGTAGTCCATTTGGTTCATTGTTATGACAATGCAGGAAAAGTTATTTGATATAAAAAATCGCCGTTCCATACGATTTTTGTGTACGTCTTTTTCCATTGATAAACACGATATCTTTTATTTTTTTACATTTTGAGGACAAAAATTATACAAATCCAACAATTTTAAATATTAATATCGTTCTGAAAACACCAAGTTATTTAAAAATCGCGATAAAACGAATTACTAAAATGGAATATTTTAGATACTATTTCGCAACTAATAGTAGTAGAAAAATTAAGATCGGCAGCACTGAAAATAAGCATGCCGATTTTGTCA